TCGGGGGCTTGGGGCTTAAAGGGCTTCTTGTGCTACTAGACCCTTTAGGTGCCACAGGACCGAAGCGCTTTTTCTTTGCAGGTTTTGGAGTTTGTAGGAGGAGTTTTGAGGAGTTTGTGGGGCGGTGTCAGGGCTGAGAAGTGTTTAGGATCCCCCAAAAGGTGTCCTGCTATTTTGTGGCTTAAGGGACAGGGCCGTAAGGGAGCTGGAAATCGAATCTCCTCCCGAAAAGGCACCCTACTATAGGGCCTCGAATAATTACCTGCGCTATTTTTGGGGGGTTCCTTCATATAAATATAGTATAACGGGCCCCAAAACCCCATTCTCATTATAAGGCCCCCTACCTAAATTACATGGTTCAGGAAGGCAAACCCATTCAACACCCTCCAAATAGGGGTGAAGGTAAGGGTATCCTTCTTTTGGATCCTTGGCCCGGTCGGGTCTGCACAACCCTAAACCCTAAACCCTAAACCCTAAACCCTAAACCCTAAACCCTAAACGCTAAGCCCTAAACTCTAAACGCTAAGCCCTAAACCCTAAACGCTAAGCCCTAAACCCTAAAACCTAAACCCTAAACCCTAAACCCTAATGTGAGACATTGCTAGTTCCTTCCATGGTCGTTCCTTGCTTAAGGCCCGATGGGGGCCTGTTGAGAGCAGAGTCTTAGGGTTTAGGGTTTCAGGGCTTAAGGTTTAGGGTTTGCGGCTTCAGGGCTTAAGGTTTAGGGTTTAGGGTTTAGGGTTTACGGTTTCAGGGCTTAGGGTTTAGGGTTTCGTGGCTTAGGGTTCAGAGTGACCAAGATTAGGACGGATGGCTCTTATGGGACGCTCCTGCATCTCTTCATAGGTCCGGAGTGGGTCCTGACAGTCGTATGTGGATGCCTTTTTTCTTTATCTTTTTACTTGCGGCTCCAAGACTGAAATAACGATGAACGGTACTACATGCAACTTGGAGTTATCATTCATTGCTGTCATGTTCAGTATTACTAGTCGAGTATTAGGGGTTCGTTGGATCCGAGGCCTTCAAGTCTTGCTCCGCGATTTTTCCCGAAGCCCTAGATACTTCGGAACCCTCAAGCTATTGGAGACACCCTACCCAGGGAGCCCAATACCCCTTAGTGTAAAGAATACAAATACCTTAAACATCCTTAAGCCATAGGGGCCTTAAGATGATGGTCTTATATTTACCTTAAACTAAAAGGGCCGCCTGAATATCATGGTCTTATAATTGCCCTAAACTATAGGAGCCACAATATCATGGTTTAAGGTATATTCCATAAGCAAGTCGTATGGGGCTCTCTGGGTTTGGGGAACACGTGAAGCGAGGAGTCGCATCTACAAGGCTTCCGTGGCTCTGCGGCAGTTGGAGCCCTATACACGCTGAACCCTAAACCCTGTAATTTCTAAACCTTATCGTTGTGGTTCGGCATCACTTGGACCACACTGACCACACGTTTCCTTAGGGTTTAGGGTTTTCTGATTTCCTCTCGGGTTGGGGTTTAGGGTTTTCTGATTTCCTACCCCAAAGCCTCTATCTAAATCCTGGCCCTAAACCCAGGCTCTAAACCCCGAGCCAGGAACCCTGCACCAAGCTCTTCCACAGTTTGGGGTCTGTGAATGTCAGGATTCTGACCTTGTAGTCTCTGACCTATACCCGGAATCTCGAGCCCGAGTACAGAGAGGTTGTTGATGACTTTGTGGTGCCGGGTTCTGTAGGGCGTTACAATCGTTACAAGCCTTTGTATAGGCTTTTGGGAGGTTTGGTGCTCTCATTTAGAGAGGCTTTGAGCAGTTCGAAGTAATGTCCCCTTAAGGACCCTTGAACTACACTTTGGTATAGACGCCTAAACGGAAGTCCAAAACCCGAAAGTAATTCTAGGGCTTCAACACCCTTGAAGCAGTAGGTTGTTTCATCAGGTTTTGCCCGCGAGCACTTTTGCGCGTCGGACCAATCCTAAAGCCCCAAAACCAAGTATGTATTAAACCTTAAGCTCGTAACCTAAACAACATACTCTAAACCCTCAACTTTAGACTCTAAACCCTAAACCCTAAACCGTGGATTGGGGGGACATGTCCGCACCTGGGTGCCCGCCGCAGACTCTGTTAGCCACAAGACGCTACAGCTAAGCTCCTGAAACTCTAAACCCTCAAACCTAAACCCTAAACCCTAAACCCTTAAACCCTTAAACCCTGAACCCTAAACCATTAAACCCTTAAGCCATAAACCCTAAACCTTAAACCCTTAAACCCTGAACCCTAAACCCTAAGACCCGATCACAAAAAAGTATCTTACTACCGACGGGGAGGGGTCAACATATTGACCTTACCGAGGTTGCTGCCATGGCAGCTTCTTGGGCTGATTCAGATGGAATGCGGGGTTTAGGGGTTTGGGGTTTTGAGTTCAGGGGAAAGGGTTCCATAAATGGGTCCATAAGGCTTGTGGCATAAGGTTCCACAAGGGCACCTGAGGGGTTTGGGGTTTTAGGGTTTAGGGTCAGATGGAACGCTGATTTACCAGTAGCCAGAATAGGGTCAGATGGACCGCTGATTTGCCAATAGCCAGAACAATCACCGTCATCATCGCTACCATATCCATACTAACAGCCATGATAACATAATGATAATGGCCTGAATCATGATCACGCCAGCAAAAACATGAGTTTCTACTATGGCAGTGTGAAGTTGCCTGAATATTTATAGTAACTAGTGGCCGTTGTCATTCCAACCACCACCATAACCGTCATGTGAGATTACCAGTAACAGTCTGTGACAGTAGTAGCAGCAGCAGCAGGCAGCAGTCGCAATGAGTAGAACAGCTGTAGCTACTCTAACAGGTCTAAACAGTGGGACTACTTAGTTGCAATCAATATGGTCTTTGTGGTCGTTGCACTTGTAGCACAATAATAACTGTAGGAATTGTAGTACACAGCGTTGACAACAAGGTGTTCATATGCTTGGGAGATGAGGGAGTTTCCGAAAATAGGGGACCCTAATATAGTACCCTAAATAGTAGGCCCCTTATTATAAGGACCCCCACATATGGTACCCTAATTTTTGGAAACTCCCATGAGGGGTTGAGGTCTCTTGTGTTTTTGCTTAAGATGCTTCGGCTTTGGCCTTCTCTGGTTTTGGGGTATGCGTTTGTAGCTTCGAGCTTACGGCTAACTATTGTGCTTCTGAGGCATGCGGTTTAGGATTCAAAGGGTGCTGATTTTGCGTCTGACTGTATCGAAGTTGGATTCATACGAGCTTGTCGTTACTTCCCACCACAGGAGGAATCAGACCCCCCCCAAGCCATCAAGACAAGCGCCAGCAAAAGGAAAACAGACACATACCAAGAGCAAAACAGAAGCAGCGAAGCATCTCTCCAGGCTTGGTGCTGTATCGTACATCTGCAAGACGGAAGCAGCGTCCAAGGTCCGTCGAAACAAAAGAGGAGGAAGATGACCCTCAACCCAGCACCCTAAACTCTACTTAAAGCCCTTCTACCACAAAACCTGAACCCTCAAAAACCAGGATAAGATGACCCGAAACTCTAAACCCTAAACCTCAAACCCAAAACCCCAAACCCCAAACCCTAAACCCCACACCTCAGGTCTTCTTCCTTTCCGGCTTCGGGGCCGCTTTCTTCATCACCTCGCGGAAGCTGGACCTCCTGAGGCCCTTGCACTGTTCTTTTCGGGTTTTGTGGTAGTAGTAGTAACCCTAAACCCTAAACCCTAAATCCTAAACCCCAAAGCCTAAACGTAGTAGTAGTAGTAGTAGTAGTAGTAGGAAGGGCGTAGGTGTTCGGCTTCTAGTTTCGGGCTTTTGGGGTTTTTGAGCTTCTAAGCCTAGGTAAACCCTAAACCCAAAACCGAAGGGAATAGGAAGGTTGCTTGCAGCTGCCAAGGAGTCCACGATCCTTCTGGATGCACATGGGCTAGTTTAGGGTTTAAGGTTAGGTTGCCTACCTGTAGGGTCATACCGGGCCCCCTTTTTTGAGGCACCTACTTGTCCATGTATTAGACAGATCCTACGAGAAGACACGGAACCTTGAACACCGGGTAGGGCATGACACTCTAGGTAATGTATCCAAAGGACCCCAGCTTCTGAAGCTGCCCGACATCTGCAGTGCCAGGGGGATTGGCCTCGAGGTGGCTGTGATTATTGCGAGCTTTGCAGCTTGGTTGCATCGATGCTTTCGTGTACACTCGTGGGTACGCCTTATTTTCCAAAATCCCTGAATTCCACGAACCGTCAACCCAAACAAAATACAGGCCTCAATAATGAGAATAGGGTCTTGGGGCTAAGTATATGAGTAGTCCGCTACATTAGGGTCTCTCTGTAGGTCCCAAGACAGTACGGCACGCCGCTTACAGGGATCCTACAAAAACCGTAATTTAGAAAACTACTCAACCCTAAACCCTAAACCCTAAACCCTAAACCCTAAACCCAGAATCCCAGAACCCTAATATTATGGAACCCTCAAGGGACAGACTTGACACTCCCGGAAGACTCCTGACCCGGCACAGCGCAGCCAGGGGTTTGAGGCTCAGGATCTCGACTTGTGTAGGTTCAGGTTTAGGGTCTGACTAGGGTTTGGGGTTTAAGTTCAGGTCCAGATTTTTTTCCTTTGGACCCTACAGGTGCTCAAAAAGAAACCCTAAACCCTAAAACCTGAACCCTGAGCCCTAAACCCTAAACCCTAAACCCTGAACCCTAAACCCTAAACCCTAAACCCTGCAGGTGAAACCTGTCTGCCTCGTCGCTTATCAAGGACTCTGCAGCTTTGGAACCGAGGGCGCTCAAAAGAAGCGCGAGCACTGTGAGGACTTAGAGTTAGCTTTGCCCTGCCAAGCCATAATATCCTCCTGCCGCACTGCCTTCATCCTTCAGACGCTTGAACGAACATCATTTACCGTGCAAGTGACTTGATCACTTGCATGGTAGCGGAGCCTTAGCTCCTGCTGCTACGAGCCGACGATCCAGGAAGTAAGAACATCAGGTGCTAGGCCCCTGATGACCTCAAGTGGTGAAGTGACTGCACGGTCGAAAGATGGTGTTCCCATCTGGGATGGAAACAGTGCAACCTTTCAGAGGTATGAGGAAGAGGCCCTGTTGTGGCAACAGGGGATACCGTACCATAAAAGGTACATGTCCGGACCTCGCCTGTTGGCCGAGCTCCAAGGTGCCGCCAAACGAATGGTGGTTGGGAAAGCTCCTGACTGGGTTTCCTTCAACGGCGGCGTCGAGACCTTGATGGGACATCTAAGGTCTTGCCTAGGACGGCCACAGGTGACAGAGTTGACCGATTACCTGAACCAGTACTTCAGGAATTCGAGGAGAAGAAGTGGAGACTCGATCAATGACTACGTGACTCGCAAGAGCGAGTTGTATATGCGAGCGCAGCAGGCACTCAGTCGAGTGCGTCCCCACCAGGAGACTACGCCCCCGGCGGGCACCGGAACCCGTGAAGGGAACTGGAGCAGGGGCCGCCGGAGTAGCTGGACTTCAGAGGCCACCACGACCACGGCACCGGATGGTGATGACGATGCGGATGATGCCGCGACGGATGCGGGGACAACGTGGAACTGGGAGGACTCCAACCAGAGAGGAGGTTGGCAGGCCAGCTACTGGGGAGGCTATCACGATACTTCGTGGTGGCAGCCATCCTCGTGGGGATGGACTGGAGATTGGCGCCAAACTGGCGCTCGCCTGGCGAGCGGATGGAATCCGGAGACCAAGGTGGTGGAGCTCCTACCTGAGTGGGTGCAGGGGTGGTACCTACTACAGGATGCGGGGTTGAGTACCAATGAGAGAAACATGGTGTTCACGGCATTGAAGGGCGACTTCAGCGTGCAAAAAGTGGCCCAAGAACTTCGCAATCAATGGTCCGAACAGGACCTGCGGAGGCACGACCAGCATCAGAAGGCCTCGGGCTACCTCGGGGACAATCTCGAGAATCAAGAGGATGACAACGATCTCTACGAGGCCTGGAATGCTGGTGAAGCGGGATCTCAGGATGAGGACCTCAATGATGAGGGCGTGGCTTTGATCGCAGAAGCAGAAGACGAAGCCCAGCAAGCTTGGGCCACACTACAGCACGCCCGGAGAACACTCAAAGAAGCTCGTCAGAAACAACATCAAGTCCGTATGTCCCGGAAGTACTACGGCAATCACGGCAGTGGAGCCCGATCGAGCTCCCGACCAAGGGATGATTCGCAGATGACCTGCATGGGCTGCGGCAAGATTGGACACAGAATTGCCAACTGTCCCCAGGAAAAGAACAAGGCACATGTGGCAGAGAACCAGGCGGCGCCATTCGTGTGCTTTGTGGAGCAAGCCTTAGCTGGGGGCCCGGCTGAGGCTCCTGGGATTCAGGGTGAGGTCGTTCCTACGACGGCCGAGGCGGTTCAGAGTGGATGGGGAGTGATTGACGGGGGAGCAACCAGGACCCTCGGATCAGTTCAAGCCATCGAAGCAGTGATGAAGCAGAATGTGTCCAAGCGCGGCAGCTCGGGAATTCAGGGTGTGGATGTTTCAAATCGGCCAGTTTTCGGATTTGCTGATTCAGGAGAGGCGCGGTGCGTCTCTACAGTGGATCTGGGGCTACAAGCCAATGGTCATGAAGGGAAACTACGGGTTCACGCCCTGAACAAGGGCACGGGACCAATCCTCATTTCCGTCTCCACCCTGAGGACCCTTGGTGCAAGCATCGATTTTGAGCAGGACCTGATGGTGCTGAGGCGTCTTGACGCCCATAAAGTCATCCCCCTCAGGCGGTCGACTACCGGACACCAGCTCATGAACCTCACAGAAGATCTTTTCCGTGAAGCGCAGGCGACAAAGGTCGCAGTTCCCTCGCTCTCCTCCTTTTTGATGGCCGAGGAGTAGGGACATGACCCCTTGTGGACCGTACCGGAGGGTAAACAAGGGGACCGAGTTTTTTCCGGAAAGGGTAGCATAGCCAAAGTGCCTGTAGCACCTCCCCTAGCAGGCGAAGGTGAAGGTGTGTTTGGCTTTCGGGTTCAGGGTAGTGAGATTTTTCCCATTTCCAAAGCAGTAGTTTCAACAGCAGACCAGAAGTCATCAGTGAACAGTTCTCTAGGGACACGGATGCCTGAGACACTTCAAGATCACGGAGATGCACCCGCGCAGCAAAGTCGTGTTCCAAGGGAAGCCCTCTTCGACACCAGCCCTTCCTTAGCGACTCCTCGTGGACGTGATGGACAAGATGTCAAAGACCCACCTGCGGGCGGCAATCTCCACTTTCGGGGAGATACCGGCCGAGAGTTGGAATGTGGCGGAACTACGTCATCGTCTACGCGAGTTGATGGACGAGCAGGAGACCCAGTGGGCCTTGCCACCGGGATCAAAGAGGGCGACGCCGTTGCAGCAGCAGATCAAGCAGCTGAACAAGAACAACAAGAAGAAAGCGGACCTCGTCGAGTACATGGAGAAGGTTCTCAATCTACCGGTCTCGGCCAACGAGACGATGGCACAGATGGAGAAGCGGGCGATGGACCACCTCTACAACACCGTTCAAAGCACAAGCTTGGATGTTGTGGGATTTGGTCGCCATGCAAGTCTCACCTATGCCGATCTGGTTAGGGACTATCCGCAGTACGTGGCGTGGGTCAAGCAGACCCACCGCGAGACGGACGAGACCAACATCCGCCTGAAGCGACTAGCCACGTGGCTGCTTCGGGCCACCGATGTGTCGGACCCAGTGATCCGCACGCCCCCGAACAACAACCGCATGGTCTTGAAGGTGAAGGGCGGCTACGTGACAGAGCCAGAACCAGAGGTGCCACAGACAAGCGCCACCGCGTCCGCTGGGCAGACACCGTTTCCCAGCAGCCAGACAGCTCAGACGGACGTCCTCCAGACGATGATGGAGACCATGCGCCAGATGCAGACGGAGCTCAAGGAGATGAAGGAACAGAGTGCCGGATCCGAGGAACGACCCCGGAAGAAGGAAAAGTAGATCCTGAGGGACACGATCCTGTCTCGAGCCAGTGTATGAGCTCTCCTCCTCGCTCTAACAGCACAGGTAGCCAGGAACTTAGTACTCAGGCTGCGCGACACTTAGAACGAGAGAGCCTCAGTGTGGTTCCGGACCTAGTTCAGCAGTTGATTGCTGGGGACGAGCATGGAGGAGTGCGCCAGTGCTCCTGGAGATAGCTTGCACTCCAGACAGCCCCCTCACAGAGGCTGTGCGAGCGAAGACGGGGGAGTTGTTGTCGGCTTCTCGTTGTGGGCTGTGGAATGCGGGGGACTTGAGTACTTCAGAGGGTTTGAGGTTTGTGCTTGATAGGATTCGGGCCCAGCAAGTGTGGATGTCTCCTCCTTCCAGTCCTTTTTCTCCCATGCAAGCCATCAACCAGCGGTCAGAGGCTCAGCGACAACAGTTAAGTGAGAAGCGTAGGGCTGCCATGAAGACGTACGTAGGAGTGTGCTGTGTTTGTCATGCGTGCATACAGTTAGGCATACACTGTACGGTGGAAATGCCAGACCGCTGTGATGCCTGGCGATACTGCCTCTGTTCCAACAACTGGGGACGAAATACAAGTTGTGGAGCGCGACTGTTCGAGGATGCCAGGTGCAGTTGAGGGATTCTGGTTCAGGTCGGTATGTTTTTCAGGGATGGAAGGTTCTTACGAGCCACAAGAGATTGTCGGAACAGTTGGATCTTCCTTGTCGTTGCGGCAAAGCCTACAGACATGCTTTCAGTCCCGACAAAGGACACAAGGGCCGGACGCCCCTCACTCAGGAACTCGCGCGAAGGATCGCGGAAACGATGTGCCAGGAGTTGAGGTCCGAGCGAGAGGGATTAGGACTAGGAGTAGATGAGGCACATAGACCCGAAGCGCTAGAGGCTCAGTCAAAGGACTCTCCTGACCCCCGTAGTTCCGTGTTGTACTCCCAGAGCCAGCAACAGCAAGTGGAAGACTTGGCCGAGCAACTTTGGAAGAGTCAAAAGTTCCAGATCAAAGATGCTGAGCCGCTGTTGGAAGCAGTGGCAGGGATGCGACTAGGAAAGGCCCGGAACATGGTAGGTAGTCAGAACCCCTCATACCAGACCTTTGGAATGTATTCCCACGGCAACCAGTACGGTGTGACTTCCAAGACCTCAGTGCTCCCAAAGGTGACTAAGTACATGAACAAGTGGCTTGCCGAGAACCTACCCCAAGGCTCCCGATGGTCGTCGTTTGTGATCTGTAAGGACAACAGGATGCCCGTGCACAGAGATACCAACAATGACTCTAACCACCCGAACTACGTCATAGGAGTAGGAAACTACGAAGGCGGCGAGTTATGGGTAGAGACACCCCCGGGATACACGGGCCCCGACGCCTGTGCCAAGGAGTCTTCAGAGGGACACACCCTCATGGGACGAAAGATCCCGACTCGGGGCCAGTGCGTCGAGTTCTCCCCGCAGGCGTGGCGTGGGACATGCGCGTGGAAGGGTACCAGATTAGTGGTTTCGGCCTACGTGAGTAGAGGGTGCAAGGTGGTTGCTGAGGACTTCAGACGGGAACTTCGGAGTTCAGGGTTCAGGTGCCCCAGCTACCCCCAGACTTCAGGTGATCAAGGATTAGTGTTGCAGAGAGCAGGTCAATGGAAGCGTCCTTTCTCTACTACAGGGAAACAGGCCGACGAGAGAATTCGGAAACAACTGTACTTGCTTCATGCTGCCACTGGACATGGAAGCATACGCCACCTTGTTGATGCCTTACGTAGGAGAGGGTCAGCTATAGAGTGTTGGAGCTCGCTAGGGAATTCCGGTGTTCGGTGTGCGAGGAAAAACGAAAGGTAGGAAGCCGCCAGCTGGCGACACTGGAACCACTGCCCCCTCGATGGAGCACAATCTCTGCAGATGTTGGACACTGGTCACATCCACAGTCACACGAACAGGTGCAGTTTATGTTGATTGTTGACGAGTGTTCTAGGCTTAGGGCGGCGAGGATCCTGACCAAAGGCTCCAAACAACAACCCAGCGCCATGTCATGTTTAGCCTATTTGCAAGAAGGCTGGATACAGTATTTCGGGAAACCACAGGTGTTGCGGTTGGATCCGGCAGGTTCTTTCAGGAGTAAGGCGGTTGAGAGTTTCTGTGATAGACATGGGATTTTTTTGGAAATCATTCCAGGTGAGGCCCATTGGAAGCTTGGGGTTTGTGAACAGGCGGTGAAGGGCGTGAAAGAGGTGATGACCAAGCTGTGTGATGAGAATCCTGATCTGGGTGCTGAAGAAGCCTTGGCGATGACGGTGATGACGTTCAATCACCGCGATCTGGTTCGTGGTTTCAGCCCAGTTCAACATGCTCTAGGACACAATCCTGATCAAGTAGGCCCCATCTTGGAAACTATCAACCAGGCTCCCGTAGCTATGCTTTGGGAAGATTCCCAGGGAGAAGTAGAGAGATCTGCCAGGCTACGAGCTCAAGCTGAGGCCGCACATGCATCATGGGTAGCCCAACAGAGAATCATCAGAGCCCAAAACTCTCGAAGCCAACCAATCCTCAATTTCCAGGCTGGCGAACTAGTGTACCTTTGGCGGGCACAAACAGGCCAACAAGGTAGGAGGCAGCCAGGGGATAAGCATGGAAGATTCATAGGACCAGCCCGAATCTTGGCTACTGAAAAGAAGAAAGGCGAGGATGGACAGCTTCTTCCGGGTAGCTCGGTGTGGTTGGTGCGCGGTAGGAGTTTGATTAAGTGTTGTCCGGAACAGCTTCGTAGAGCCTCTCCTAGAGAAGAACTGCTTGAAAACCTTGTTGACCCCTCGGATCGCACGCCATGGACGTTTCAGAGGGTTGCTGAAGAAATAGGAGGGAATCAATATCAGGACTATTCCAGTCAGGTGCCCACACAGTCTGAATGGCATCGGGCACAAGATGCTGAACAGGAAGAGCCCCCTACACGTAGACGCTTTCAGGAGCCCGAGCCAGCTCATCCCGCGTTCGAACTGATCCTCCTACAGGGAGCGGATTTCAGGCGGCTGAGGCCTGGTGGACATCCGTGCCAGAGCATGAATGGGAACCTTCCCAGTCAGCATTCTGGCAATCCTCGGAGGCCGCTGTGGCAGTGGAATTGGAACTTCCAGGGAACCAGCATGGGCTTCAGAAGACACTTCGGAATTTACCTTCTTACTTTGTTGGAGCTTGGAAGAGAAAAGCAGTTGAGATTTCAGAAAAGAAGCTGAACGATGAGCAGAAGGCGCAATTTCGAGCTGCAAAAACTATTGAAGTCCGTAATTTCATTGCCGCTAAAGCATTCGAAGCTCTTCCTGAAGGCCTGAAGCCAAGCAAGGAGCAAGCAGTCCATATGAGATGGATTCTCACGTGGAAGCCGGTTGATGGGGGAGGCCAGAAGGCTAAGGCATGTGCCGTGCTATTAGGGTTCCAGGACCCTAAATACGAACACCGAGCAACTACAGCTCCAGTAATGACTCGTCAGACCAGGCAAATGCAGTTACAAATCACGGCCAACCGGAAGTGGCAACTGCAGAAAGGAGACGTGTCGGGGGCATTCCTCCAAGGGAGGGAATATCCCGATGAGCTGTTTTGCGTGCCGTGCCCAGAAATCTGCGAGGCCATGGGCTTAGCTGAGGGTACAGTGACACGTCTCAGACGAGCATGCTATGGACTGGTGGACGCGCCCTTAGAGTGGTATCGCACGGTGGATGCCTTCTTACAGGAACTTGGCCTGGAGAGGACACAAGCAGATGCCTGTGCCTGGGTATGGCGCCCCAATGGGCACTTGCGGGGAATGATCTCGGGACATGTCGATGATTTCTTGTTTAGTGGAGGTCAAGAAGACAAGGCATGGCAAGAGATACTTGCCAAGATCAAGGCAAAGTTCAAGTGGGGAGACTGGGAACAGGACCGGTTTGTTCAATGTGGTGTACAAGTGGAAAAGACTCCTGAAGGGTTTAGCTTGAGTCAGCCTCAATACCTTGAGGGAGTTAAGGAGATTCCTTTGTCGGCGAGCCGCAAGAAGGACCGGGACGCTCCAACGACGGAGCGAGAGAAAACCCATCTCCGAGCCTTACTCGGGGCCATATCATGGCACGCACAACAAGTAGGCCCACATCTGTCGGCTGAGGTGAGCTTGTTGTTATCTGATGTTCCTGAAAGTACTGTTGAGACCATCGTCAAAGCGAATCAGCTAGCCTATCATGCGAAGACTCGCAAGGACCATCGGATGCTGATACATGCCTTTGCTGAGGATGAGCCATTAGCCATGTTTGGTTGGGTGGACGCGGCAAATCAGAATCGCCGGGATGGCGGTTCTACACAAGGCATTTTTATAGGACTAGGTCCTGCCAGCATGCTTTCAGGAGAACTGGGACGAGTGACACCGATTTCGTGGCACTCGAATCGCATAGACCGGGCATGCCGGTCCCCAGGAGCAGCCGAAGCACAGGCGGCTGTGAATGGAGAGGATGCCCTGTATTTTGCGCGTTTTCAGTGGTCAGAACTTGTGTATGGTGATGTCAACGTCCGACGACCGAATGAGGTAGTCACTAAGGTCACTGGGTGCTTGGTGACAGACTCCAGAAATGTGTACGACAAACTGATTACTGAGGTGTTGGTCATTAAGGGCAAGGAGAAGAAAACCAACATTGAGCTCTTATCACTCAAAGAGGCGCAAAGGAACCACGGGGTGATCGTCCGGTGGGTGCACTCAGAGGCCCAGCTGGCCAACGCTTTGACGAAACACAATAGCCAGGAGATGGAATTGTATTACAGGATGCAACATACATGGCGAATTGTGGAAGACGAGCAGATGATGTCTGCTCGTAGACGAAAGACTGCAGGGTTGGAACCGCATGGAAATGGGAAACAAGGGAGTTCTTGATCCTTCTAGGGGAGGGAGAAGGGGGGCATGCAGGTGAAACCTGTCTGCCTCGTCGCTTATCAAGGACTCTGCAGCTTTGGAACCGAGGGCGCTCAAAAGAAGCGCGAGCACTGTGAGGACTTAGAGTTAGCTTTGCCCTGCCAAGCCATAATATCCTCCTGCCGCACTGCCTTCATCCTTCAGACGCTTGAACGAACATCATTTACCGTGCAAGTGACTTGATCACTTGCAAACCCTAAACCCTGAACCCTAAACCCTAAACCCTGAAGTTTGTGCAAGGTAAGGGATGAGGATCTAGGGCCCTTCGGGGGCATCTTGGTGCTTCTCAAGGCTACGGGTGGGTCGAGGATGCAGAGCTCCTACGGCTGATGGATATATCCTGCATTACCCATATGGAGAAATATGCCATACTTCCCATAGTTTAGGGCCCTTAAGGTAATGCAGGATATATATATATATATATATAATCAACAGTAGGTAGCATTAGGGAGACCCCTTAAAGGGGACCCTTCTTAAGCGTACTTGTGGCTCTCTTAAAGGGGACTTTATTGAGAGGGTCTATATCCCCAAGGGTCCCCCAAATCCCAACTTCTAAAGTGAGGCTGCAGGGTTTCGGGTTTAGCAGTTCAGGGTTTGGGGTTGAGGTTTTAGGGTTAGGATTTACTGTCTCGAGCATCTGAGAATCACCTGATCTCGACCATGGCCTCTGGCTGCAGCCCTACATAAAAAAAGGAGCCTTGATAATTAGAATAGGGTTTTGGGGTATACTATACTATAGTTATAATAAGGAGGCCCCTCCAATAAGGAGGCCCCCCAATAAGGAGGCCCCCCAAAATAGTATGGGTAATTATTTAGGCGCCTATATGGGGGTTTCCGAAAATAGGGGACCCTAATATAGTACCCTAAATAGTAGGATTCTTATTATAAGGACCCCAAAATAAGGTACCCTAATTTTTGGAAACTCCCATATTAGCTCAATGCCGTTCCAACGGAAGGTCTTCCTCGTGCAGAGGCAACTCGGCTTTTAGGGTTTAGGGTTTAGGGTTTAAAGTTTAGGGGTTTAGCAATGTCCTCGGATTCCTGCCGACCCGGCCCCTGCTTTAAGGCGTCTTTAGGATATGGGCAGTTCTCTAAACTAGGGTCCCTTTTGGGGTTCTTTTTATAAGGGTGCCGTGCTAGATTGGGGACCTAAAAAAGGGACCCTTATTTAGAGAACTAGCCATATCGGTCCATGCTATCCAGGGTTCTAGTCGATTAAGCGTCTGCTGTTGTTTCGTCGGCTTCGCAGGTTCCAGCGTTCTCAAAACCAGCTTACGAGGTAAGAATCCTTTTTTTACAAGATCCCGAGAAGTCCTTCACCCTAAGCCTGCAGGGGTCTGCACCCCAGCCCTACAGCCTGCAGCTCGTTCCTACCACACAGACCGCGAAAGCCCCTGGTGGCTAAAACCGAGGTTCTTACTTCCTCTAAGCGCTGACTGCGCCCAAGCTGTAGAGCAAACTCCCGAAGGTGGCAGCTGACCTTTGCCTTTAGTGCCAGAAACTTGGGGGTCTAGGGGTTAGGGTTCAGGGTTGCAGAAGTACCCTAAACCCTAAACCCTAAACCCTAAGTATCCTCATGCCCGACAGGTCCACCGAAGACGCTTGGTTCTCAGGTTAAAGGCGTTTCGTAAGCCCTACCACCTCAGAAGCCGTGTCTTCATCTTGTGTCACGAGGCCTCCAAGGGCTGTGGGACTGCGTGCAGTCTAGGCTCGATGCAGACCCTCAGGCTCCATTATGGGCAGTTCTCTGGATTAGGGTCCCTTTTCGTTCTTTTTTTTTCTTCCAAGGGTGCCGTACTATATTTGGGACTTAACAAGGGGCCCGAATGTAGAGAACTACCCACATAGAGACTTTATGGCCCAAAGTCTTATAGACTACATAGGGACATGGAGCCTTAGGGAGATGGACTGCCAGTGGTTCCACAACCTATCAGTGCGCTACGCCTAATGAGCTCCGACACTGCAACACGGAATCTCTGCAGAGACTTCTAGGCGTGAGCCTCAAGCCAATCCCGAAACTCTAAAGCCCAATGCCGAAGCCTAAGCCCTAAGCCCTAAACC